TCTCTCCCTCTCTCTCCCCTCCCTCTCTCCCTCTCTCCCTCTCTCTCTCGCGCTCTCTCTCTCTCTCCCTCTGTCTCTCGGGCCCCCTCTCCCTCTCGCTCACCTTTCCCAAGTCTCGCCTCCTTCCTTGGTCATCCTACAGTAGCTGCACAGCTGTACCCTCATCCCCCCACACACACACACACAAGCCAGATCTGATGGTTTGTGTCCTCATCACCTCCTTTGATCTCCACCAACCGTTTCTATTAATACAAACTGAGATCCAGATCTCACTCGCAGAATGCCTGTGGTTAGCTGAGCTCCCTGCAGTCTGTTTCCACTTGAGCTGAGCCCTGGGGTGTGTAAGCTGTTCCTAGGTGATTCTTCACCATGGCCTCCTTTGCTTAGGAACCTGCTATGGCTCCCTCATTGGGTCAAAGCTCCTCTGCCCTCTGCTCCAGCCAGGCTGGGTCACTCACTCTCCTGCAGACACCCTTCCAGACTCCATCCATGCAGGGCTCCACTGAGTGCCCTCCCCGACCCTCTCCCTCATCTCCCCAGACCCAGCCAGCCCTTGGTCACCATGTTGCCTGACTAGGACGGGGATGAACCAGAAGGGCCAGGGAGGTGGACAGACACAGGGATCCCAAGCCCTGGGCTGTCTGTGGGCAGGACTGTCATAATGGCTGTCACCAGTAGTAGGTGGTGGATGGGGGAGAAGCAGGGCGAACTCCTGCCTCTGGCCCACCTTGGCCTTTGGTCTGAGATGCCAGTTTTGGCTTATTGCCTTGAACTGGACCCCGAGAACCAGCCTTCCCCAGCTCCTCTTCTATTACCACCTTCTGCCTACCCAGGCTGCACCTGTGGCCATGTGGGGCTGAGCTGCTGAGACGGCTTCCTGCCGCAGCTTCCTGTTCTAGAGACCAGCCTTGTTACCGACCCCCCAGAACCTCCGTCCCTGCCGCTGCCTTATCCTGCAGCCTCATGTTCTGTAAAGCAGCTTTAGGAGTCACCAGGAAGGGCCTTGTCAGGAGAGGAAAGCAGCCAGGGCTCAGGCTAAGAGGCCCACTGTGGTTTTTCCCATCCCAGGGTTATAGCCACAGCTTTTCACGCAGTGCTCTGAGACATGACAGTGATGGCCAGAGTAAATGGACGTGGCCAGATTGGGCACCTCACCACCAGGGCTGCCTTCAACTCTGCAAAGTGAATATTGCTGCCATCAATGACCCCTTCTTTGACCTCACTACATGGTCTACACATTCCAGTATGACTCTATCCGTGGCACAGTTGAAGCTGAGAGCGGGAAATGCAGCAGCAGCAAAAGCAGGAAAATCACCTCCATCTTCCAGAAGCGAGAGCCCACCAGCATCCATCTGGGTGGTGCTGGTGCCAAGTGCCGTGGATTCTACTGGTGTCTTCACGACCATAAAGAAGGAACTGCAGGGTGGAGCCAAGGGGTCATCATTAGATGGACGCCCCTATGTCTACCAGGGGTGGGGACCACATGACAACTGTGATATTATTCAGGGATTCATGACCACGGTCTATGCTGTCACTGCCACCCAGGAGACTGGATGGTGCCTCTGGGAAACTGTGAGCATGAAGGCCATGTCCCTGCGTCCAGTGGCACTATGAAGGCTGGAAGTCATCACAGAACTGAGGGGAAAGCTCACTGGCCTTCCATGTTTCTACCCTCAATACGTCTGCTGCTGTGAATCTCACCTGCCACCTGGAAAAAGTTGCCAAATCCAGAGACATCAGTAGCTGGTGAAGTAGACACCAGGATGCTCCTGAAAGGCATGCTGGGCTATACGGAAAACCAGGTTGTGTCCTGCTGCTTGAACAGAGGGAGACATTCCTTCGCCTTTGACACCGGGGCTGGCACTGCCCTCCACAAACAGCTAGTCAAGCTTACCTCCTGGTATCACAAGCTTTAACCATTCAAATATATTCCTACACACACAGACGTTCTTGAAACAAGGTCCCTCTATACACCAATCCTCCTGCCTCTACCCTCAAGTGCTGGGATCACAGGCGTGTGTCATCACCCTCTCTCTCGCAAACTTCCTCTTACTTAACCAGAATCACTGAGTCCTGTTCTAGGCCCTTGGTGCTCTCTCCCACCCTCTCCCCCAGACCCCACAGCCCAGAGTCCCCCTGAAGCCATGTTTGCTTAATTCCTGGGCCACACCGAGCTCCTCACACAGACACAGCACAGGTATTTATTGCTCAGCACCGTGCCATCCTGATTACGTGTTAAGCAGCAGGGACCGCAGTTGCACAGACTGAGCGTGTTGTTGGAGGGACATAGGCTAGAATCACAGGGTCTCAGATCTGGTAGTGAAGGGCTGAGCGGACCTGGCCAGGAAGCTGGGCTCCCCACTGCCCTGAGACGGGCCCAGGGACGCTGCTCAGAACTGAGGGGCTGCAGGACTCCAAGCGCCAAGCACGGGGCTTGCTCCTCCCTGTGTTAGCACACCCCACTCTGCCTTCTCTCCGGCCATGGGCGCCTCCTCGGTACGTGCTCAAGTCCCTCTGTGGGGGTGTAGCAACCGTGGTCCAAGCCCAGGGCTTTTGGGCTGCTTATATACCTTCCTCTTCCAAGCCACACGGATCTGTCCCCTGACCCCCCTCTAGAACAGCCTCCCCTTGGCTCTCCGCCCAAACCCAGTGCATTGTCCTTCACCACTAAATAGGCTACATATGTATCAATATGCTGACATCCTTGTCCCCTACTGCAGCAAGTACAGAATTTTGGTTTCCTCCTTTCTTCTTCTTCTTTCTTTCTTTCTTTCTTTCTTTCTTTCTTTCTTTCTTTCTTTCTTTCCCTTCCTTCCTTCCTTCCTTCCTTTCTTTTTCCTTCCTTTCCTTCCTTTCCCTTCCTTCCTTCCTTCTCTCTTTCTTCCTTTTTCAAGACAGGGTTTCTCTGTGTAGCCTTGCCTGTCCTGGACTCACTTTGTAGACCAGGCTGGCCTCAAATTCACAGAGATCCACCTGCCTCTGCCTCTCTGAGTGCTGGGATCACAGGTGTGCACCACCAAACCCAGGAGAATTTTGCATTTTTATTGGCCACTAACACTGGGGAGCCAAAAAAGACTATAATCAGCTGTGATGGACAGGGACACCCCCTCAAGAGCCTGGTGAGCATGAGGGTCAGAAGAAGGGCTGGGAGTAGGCCCGGGGGCTTCAGCCGCTGGCACACAGGACTGAGAACACATGCGCAGGGGCCTACGTGAACCATGCCCTTGTCCTGGCCACATGCTTCAGGCTTCCAGCTACACCCTTCCTTGCTAGAGAGCTCATGGTTCCCACGTTCCCACCGCCCTGCACTAAGTACCTGTGATGGGGGGGGGGGGGCTTTCCACAGCCCCCGCCTCCCATATCCCAGCCCTAAAGGTCAGCTCTTCCGTGCCTGCCTGTGGTTGTCTGTGCCTGACTCCTCCAGGCACAGCCCACAGCAGCCAGCTTTCTATTAAAGCCCCGGCTCCCTCCCACAGTGAGAACAGGGGCAGCAGGTCCTTACAGGGCGGTGTGGCATCCTTTAAGATCGACGCCACTCAACCTGCTGCTCAGCACAATTGCCGCACGGGAACCATTACGTTCATCCCTCAGCTGGGGAAACTGAGGCTCGGGGAGGCTGATGCCATGCTCCCAGTCTGACCCACAGCCTCTTAGGCCCTGCAGAAACTGGCACCGATGCCTGTCTAACATCCATGCAAAGCAAAATGCAGAGCTCTGAGTCAAGTCCCTGGGGATTCTATGTCGCCCCAGAGCCCAACACTGCCGTTCAGCTACTTGGACTGTTAAGGCCTAGAGTGCTGGGCTGCTGGAGGCCAGAGACGGTCTCTAGATCAGCACTCTGAGTGTCTTATCGAAGGGACAATGTCCCTCCACCCCCAGCTGCCAGTGCCTGGGTGCTAGGGACTGTGACCCTAAGCAAGCAGCTTCTGCTCTTTGGATCTAAGCTATAGGACAGTGAAAGGAAAGCTGGAGGCGGCACAGGACAGGGCCCTGTCGAGTTGAGGGGCTGGTGAGGGCGGGGCTGTGCTGTGCGCCGAGGGATGTTTGACAGCGTTCTTGGCATCTCTCCACTGCATGCCTGGATTGCCCAAGTCAGTACTCAAAACCTCTCCAGACACCGGCGGCTGGCCCCGGGGACGGGGGAATGTCAGGTGGTTCTAGATCAGAATGCCCCCTCCCTCCTTCCTATGGTCCTTAGACCTGAGCGGGGGTGGTCAGTATGGGCTGGGCCAGATGCTGCAGGCCCCATGGAAGTTTCCAGAGCCTATGATCAGAGCCTGAGACCTTCAAGAGCTAATGATAACAATAAACACTGTAACAGCCAACTACACGGCACCTATACAGCACCTACTACGTCCCTGAATGGTAGCGTGTCCCCTGTGACTGATCTGCAGGATACGGAAGCTACGGAAGCACTGAGAGGCAGAGTGACTTGTCCAGGGTCACACAGCAAGTAAGCCGCAGGCAGATCCAGATGGAACCAGGCCCCTGGCCCTACAAGCGTGAACTTCAACACCATCCAGGCTGCTCACCCACCAAACAGGCTGTTCGCCCACCAGCGTACCTGCCAGGGTTGCACAGGCGAGACCCGAAGACAGGTAGAAAATGACAATGAAATGGGGTTTGTCAGAGGACCCTCGGCAGGTGGCACCTAAGATCTTCCATCCTGCGAGTTAGTGACCCCAATGTTTCAGCAAGGCCTTAGTAAGCACCTACCGTGTGCTTGATGCCCTAGCAAAGGCAAGAGCAACGAACGTCACTGTGACCTGTTTACCATGTGGAGCCTGCTATTTCCTGCCAAGCCCCCGCTGTCTGGATGCCTCTCCCAGCCTCTTACTCGACAAACAAGGCAAGCACCTAACAGGCACCCGAATTTGTATCTGCTTTCAACAGGTACACAAACCGAGGCTCAGAGAGGCCAAGAAATGTGTCAAGGACACACAGCAATTGAGCAGAAAGCACAAACTCGGGTCGTTTGCCTCTGCCTTTAGTATGGCTTGTCTACAAGTGGAGCCTGACTAGAGCCCCTCGCCATCTTGGCATTTTGTTGTTCAAGCTCACAGTCCTGTTGTACCAGCCTGCTTTCTCGCTGCTTCCGGCAAGAAAGAACTGCTCCAGCAGGAGCCCAGGAACCCAGAAAGCATCTTTTGTCCAAATGTACTCCAGTGCCAGCACCCCTCAGGGGACTGCGCCCCCTGGGGTGCCTGTAGCTCCACCCCCAGCCGGACACCACCACAGAGCTTCAGTCCCTTAAGACCTCATGGCTACCACTCTGTCCCAGGCCAGTCATGGAGGAAGGCCACGTTTAGGATGGGCTAAGCACATCCCTGCTGCCTTACCAGGGGATGTGTGGTCAAAACCAGAAGGCCACCTGTGGAGTCTCCAGTCCCCACCACCAGGGCCACCCTCACCCAGCCTCGGGCCCCCCCGAATCCACCCTCTTCACACAGAGACAAAAGTAAGGGAGTGACTCCCACCGGGGATGGGGGACTGTCCACTCACAGTCCCTAGTCACCTCATATGGTCATAGCGACAAGGCATAGGCCAAAGGCCAGAGGATGGCCACTCACCTGGACGCCCCTGACAGTACTACAGCTCACAGATCACAGCAGGGCCTACCCAGAAGGCCTGGTGTCCCCGGGAGCTCTTCTTCTCAGCAACAGGTTTCTCTGCGGCTCAACCTATTTCCTTGATGCAAACACAGGAAAGAGAGCTCTGTTTGAAGTTGACGTCAAAGCAACAAAATGCTGTGTTCAAGGAAAATCACAGGCCACATGCTCCTGGCGGGGCATAGCGCATTTCCGGGGCCCTGCAGCGTCAGCCGCAAGGGGTTGGGAACGCCAGAGAAAGGCGAGAAGCATTGCAGCAAGGCGGCCAGGGCTCCTGGGCACAGGCTGCTGCCCACAGAGAGCCCCCACCTGAGGGAGAGAGGGGAAGGGGCCTGGAGTGCTGGGAGGGGGGCGAGCGCTGGAAAGAAGGGGTCCCCCAGAGTGCCCCTTCCCTAGTTAGGGTTACTAGTGCTGTGACGAAACACCATGACCAAGACAAGTTGGGGAGAGAAGGGTTTATATGGTTACTCGTTCACCATCAAAGGAAGTGGGTGCAGGAACTCAAGCAGGGCAGGAACCTGGAGGCAGGAGCTGATGCAGAGGCCATGGAGGGTGCTGCTTAGACTTGTCCCCATAGATTTGCTCAGTCTGCTTTCTTACAGAACCCAGGACTGCCAGCCCAGGGAGGGCACCATCCACAATCGGGCTGGCCCACAGCCCAATCTTATAGAAGCGTTTTCTCAACTGAGGTTTAGTTATCCTCTCAGCTGACATAAATCTAGCCTGCACGCTACCCAGCTTTCTTCTCCCAAGGGAAGCATAATGGGCCTGGCCTCTGCTGGGACCCTGAGGCAGGCTAGAGCTGGAGGGAGGCCCCCCACTCAGCTGGGCAGTGCCCTAAAACTGGGGTTGTGCAGTGAGACCACCAGGACTCCAGAGCTGGGCTGGTGTTCACCTGGAAAACCCGAAGATGGCAGGACTGTTCTAGAGGAGATCTGGGAAGAATCAGCTATGGAGTCAGGACATGAAGACAGGGGTCCCCCAACGCCCCCACACTCTAGTCCAGCCCCCCACAGGCCTCTCATCTTGGCCACAGCTTCCTTCCTGCCCTCCCTTCTCTAATGCTTGCCCAGCCCCACCACAGCACCCACCCACCCTGAGGCGAGGGGCCACTACCCCTGTCTAGCCCATAGTGGACGCTCACAGTACCCACTCCAGGGCCCCAAGGCCTCTGGGGGCGCCTCTCCCCATGACACTTCCTTGCTGTTTGGACCACACTCTGGAAAGGTGTTGGGAGCCCAGGGACCCTCCAGAAAGAACCTCTCACATGGGCAGTGGGCTGGGCTCCTGGGCACTGCATCTGATGCCTCCCTCCCTCTCAGAACCTCCTCACAGAGGATCTACTGTGAGGATCCTTTCTCATCCCAGCTCTCCTCTTCCCAGGAGATCTACTGTGATCGCTAGACCCTCTAAGACCCCTCTCCATTCAGGAGGAGGCTCTTGGCTAAGGGTCTTTCATTTTACATCAATCCGCCTCCACTTCCCCTTTCTCCACAGAAGCAGTGAAATCCGAGCTCTCTGGAGGCTAGCGCTCTATCCCTGCAATCAGAGAAGAAAGCATGCACACTGGAAAGAGAACTCACCCGTGGGACTCCCGTAAAACAGGAGCCAGCCAGCCAGACGTCACCAGGGCTTTACAATTATAGGTGCCTTTTACTCCGCTTTCCCGTGGAGGAGGTAAAAACCAGATTGAAATGACAAGACAGATGAAGGTAATGGCCGGCGCCACTGATCTCAGCATCGGTGGAGGCAGAAGGACAAACTTTCCACAGGTGCAAGACCAGCCTGAGGTAGTGGGAGATCCTGCCTCAAAAACAAGAGAGGACCAGGTGTGACAGCCTGCCTTAACCCCAGCACTTGGGCGGCAGAGGCAGGCAGATCTCTGTTGAGTTTGAGGTCTACACAGAGTCCCAGGGCAGTCATGGGAACACAGCAAAACCCTTTCTGAAAATCAACCACAACAAAACAGAGGGGCCCAGGCAAGACGGGACCCTGCCTGCTGCCAAGCTACCTCCTGAGTGTGGTCCCCATGAGCCGCATGGTAGGAGGAGGAAATGGTCCCCTGCTGTCGTCTGAGCCCACAGATGCACCATGGCACGCACTCACGTGTACCTATGCATGCATACATACATAACTTTAAAACGTAGTTAGAGCAAAACGGAGTGCCAGCAAGACAGCTCAGCGGCTGAAGGAATCTGCTTGCATCCGGGAGCTGCGTCCCCAGAACCCACATAAAAGTGAAGGGAGAGAGAACTTCACAAGCCGTCTGAGCTCCACAATCCGGCCATAGCATGCATGGCCCCTCGCCCCCGCCCCCCCCAACACATCGTGCCCACGCACAAAATAAATAGGAGAGAGAGAGAGAATTAGCGAGTAGGAGAATTAGCGAGTAGGAAAAAACCAATAAAAAAAAAAAAAAACATAGCCGGGCAGGATTGTCCCTGTGGCTCACATAGCGACGGACACAGGACACGGGAGGAGAAAACTTTGCAAATTATCTCGGAGGATCAGAGCGGCCTCCTAGGGAGCTGGGGGCTGCACCTGCTACATGAGTGCAAAAGGGGCAGGGAGGAATAATGGGGGAAGAGGGAGGGGACAGAGGGGGCGGGGGCGGGGCTCTTCGGCTGGATGGGCGGAGCTCCTGTGTGCGCGGGAGTCTCCAGTTCCGGAGAAGGGATTCCTGGCCTCTGCAAGCCACAAGCTCTTTCCTGTCCCAGAGGCCTGCGACTGGAAACTCTGTGGTGGCAGCAGCCTCAGTGTGTCCACCTCGCTGAGGAGAGACCGCAGATCGAAGCAGATAAGGGCGTATTTTCCGTGAAGGTGGCCGGAGGGAGGTGCTGGACTCCGGAGGGAAGGGCCAAGCAACGCTTGGGGAACTGGGCCTGGACCCAGAGCCTGGGAAGGAATTGATCACAGGCCCTCACGCTCCAGGTTAGTGGGACAATGTGGCTTCCTCCAGGGAACCTCCCTGGGCCTCACACTGAGCGAGAGGGGCGTGTGTGTGTGCAGGAAGCTGAAGCTGGGCAGGTCAGGTTTGGCTCCACACCTAAGGGAACACCAGGCCTCCACTGGTGGGGAGGGGAGGGAACGGGAGAGGAAGGGAAGGAGCCTCAGCCTTCCAAAAGAGACCATACTTAACTCTGTCCTCACCCCCCAGCCACAAAGACAGTCTCCTCCACCAGGGCCCTCCTGGATTGCATCCCTACATGGTGTCTCAGCTGCCTTCCCTCTGGGCCTGGCTAGGGTGCCTTCTGGTAGGTGCTTTTCTACCTCTTGAGGCTGTTGTGAATATTAAAACAGGCCTGAGAACAAACACTTCTGCCTGTAATGGCTCTTCTTGGTCGTCAGCTTGACCACATGTGGAATGAACAATCCACAAATGGAGGGAACAAATGTGAGATATTTTTTGGCTTGGCTTGAAGCGCATGGATCAGCTTCTAGTCTGGACCTCTGAGGTAGGAAGACAACCTTCTGTTGGCAGCCTAGATAAGGGCACGGAAGAAGGAAGCTTTTGCTCCTTGCCTGCTTGCCCTCGCCTTGCCAGCACATACAGAGAAGGGATTCCTGGCCTCTGCAAGCCACAAGCTCTTTCCTGTCCCAGAGGCCTGCGACTGGAAACTCTGTGGTGGCAGCAGCCTCAGTGTGTCCACCTCGCTGAGGAGAGACCGCAGATCAAAGCAGATAAGGGCGTATTTTCCGTGAAGGTGGCCGGAGGGAGGTGCTGGACTCCAGAGGGAAGGGCCAAGAGCGTGGTTCTTCGGAATTTCAGCACATACTGAAGACCAGCTGAGACATCCAGCCTTGTGGACTGAGCAACCCCTGGATTCTTGGACTTTCCACTCACAGCCAGCCATTGTTGGATTAGCTGGACTGCAGCCTCTAAGTCGTTGCAATTTATGCTGTGCAGTCCACACATTCTCTTGCCCCCTCTAGGGGAACCTCTGGGGTGCTGAAAGCTGCTGAGCTCCAAAGACTGCAAGTGCCTATCATCCTTGCACCGAACCCAAGTTCTGAAGAGAACTGATTGGTCACAACAGCCACTTGCTGTCCCCTTCCCGAGTGCTTCTGAAATGGCTCGCTCCTTTTGCAGCCCTCAAACCATCATGGCCATGGCCAGTGCCTCAGAGTCCAGGAGCCAGCCTGGCCCTGTCCACGGTACCGAAGGCCCGCTGTGGACACAGCAGATGCTGACCTCTTCCCCATTGAGGAAGAGATGGAGAGACAGACTTAGCAAAATGATGACGTGTTCCCTAGAGTGTGCCAATGCTGAGGAGAAAACTGGGAGTTAGAAGGTCTATCTGTTGGCACGCCATCTGGGTCAGGGCAGGGCTCACTGAGGAGACATCCAGAGTCAAGACTTGAAGGTGTCGGAGACGATGAAAGAGGTGTGGGGAGGAGGGCCCAGCAGGTGGGACCAGCCTGAAGCAGGAATGTGTTGTGAGGTGGGGTCTCTAGCTCTGGAAACTGCAGTGTTTAAGGACAGGGGATGCAATTCAGTTGGCAGAGTGTCTGCTTAGCATGTGCAAGGCCCTGGGTTCCACACCCAGCATCACACAGCGGTACATGCCTGTAGTCCCGGTACTTAGAAAGTACAGACCAGGAGTGCAAAGCATGGGCTGTAGAGGATGGCTCGCTGCTTGAGAACGCACGCTGCTCTTGCACAGGACCTATGGTTGGTTCCCAGCAGCCTCAGGCGGCAGCTCTCAAGCTCCAGGGCACCTAACGCCCTCTTCTGGCCTCTGCGGGCACATGCCCTCCCATGCATATACCTACACACAGTCACACACACACACACACACACACACACACACACACACACGTAAGAGAAAGCAACCTTGGATGGTCAAAGTGACCATTTGCTGCATGGGGAGTCTGAGGTCAGCGCGGGGTACACAAGGCTGCCTCAGAACAGAAACAAATAAAGCAAAGAACAGTGTTTGATAATTATTATGGGAACAGGTGAAAATCGCAGGGACGGGCTCCAGGACAGCCTGCTCTGGGCTCAAATGATGGCCCCACAGTTGTCGCCTCCCACCCACTGG